AGGGGTTCAAGTGGGAAAAGAATGATTTGAAAGTGATGATGGCAGCATATGTGCAAATGTGCTTGAAACACTGGATGAGTGTATGGATTGTGATAAGAGATGTAAGAGCCCCCAATAAAACTCTTTCTTTAAAAATAAATAATGAAGAAGAAAAAATTGTGGGAAGTGACTGGGTTCTGGATTTATTTTGAAGATGGACTGTATAAGGTTTCCTGATGGTTCAAATGTGAGGCACATGAACACACAGTGTGGTCAATGAGGACCCAACACCCTCTGGTCTGCTGAGCAGCATCAGTGGAGATGGGAAGGTCCTGGAAGGATCACGTTGCAGACAGGCCATCACCAGCCCGCAGTGCAGGAAGGGCTGAGTCTGAGATGTCCATGGGAAATGCCAGTGCAGAGATCAGGGTGCCAGTGGCTGTACCAGTCTTGCTGTTAGCAAAAATGTTAATTAGAGAAATAGAGGTGAGAGCTGACATGGTATGGATGATATTTAAAGTCTTGAGAATGGATGGGATTCACTAGTCATGTCCTCAAACACAATGTTCACCAATAGCAACAAAAGGAAGAGATACTGACCCAGACGCTCCAGTGCTGAGTGATGTGATGAGACCACATGCCTGAACCAGACTGCAGGGCTCTGTCACCACATTCAGCTCCTCCCCCCACCCAGCCCCACCCAGGAAGTCTCCAACTTCCCATACAAAGAACCTGCAGGAAATCTCTTTAAGACTCATCTGTTTAAAAAAAAAAAAAAAAAGACTCATCTGTTCTGGAGGAGAGCGTGGGACTCTGTGTTTGTACTGAGGTTGGTGCTGTGCTGCTGGTCTTCAGATCACAAGAATGTGGACCCGGGATGCCCACATAGCTGTGCATCAGCCTCACCTGGAGGGCTGGCTCAGTGAGTTCATTCTGGACTCTGGTCCTAGTAGCTAGAAATCTGAGTGTAGGGCTGGGGCTGCTGTAACAAGTCCACATGCACTCCTGATGCTCAACCAGTGAAACTACTGAGAGCAGTGAGGAGAGTGGGCCCCCAGAGTGGAGAGGGCTCTTCAACCACACTAAGGTGTGTTTTCCCTGGAAAAGATGAGGGCAAGTCTGAGGGGGCATGTGGTGCTGAGAGACACTGGCCACTTCTGTCGCAGACAGTGGGGCCAGGTGAGGGTGTGGAAACTGGCTCTGAGCTCAGCAGGAACCACCTGAACGCTCACCCTCTGAAAACTCCCCACACGGATTCCTTTCCACCCTCGGGTGGATACAGTGGGATCTACACTGTGTAATGAAACAGAAAAGGCTTCACATATATGCGGGATATTGGGGCTCATTTCATTCTGGGACAAACCACAGCACTAGGCTCAAAGCTACACAGACAGGAACACTTTGTCCTCTCCACAAAGGGACTAGGACTTCTAAGGAGCCCTGGTGGTACAATCATGAAGCTGCTGGCACCTCACTTAAGCTGCTCTGCGGGAGAGAAGCCTGGAGAGTGCTCCTTGAGGGATTACAACCAAGGACAGGAGCCCTGTGGGCAGGTGTCCATCCTATTAGGGATCTTTGAATCCACCTCAGGACAGACAACACAGATTTGAAACTCAAAGAACCTCTGCAGGCTGCCCTGGACTCAAGCAGACAGGGCCCAAAGAAGGCTCCTTGCAGGAGGAGAGGGGCCAGGCCAGCGCCCCAGCTGCAGGGCTTAACTCAGGGACCCCTATGGCCTGGACAGCTGCGGGATGGCCAAGAGACTGGGGATTAAGGATTCCCCAGTTTCACTTTCTCTCTAACAACCTGTGTCTGCTCCTTCTGCCTGGACACTCGTGACGCCTGACCGTTTCTGATTCCTATTGGGCTCCTGTTTCCTGGAGAAGCCAATCAACGCCAAGGCAGATCTAGGTTAGAGGATTGGATCAGGCCCCAGGAGCTTGGAATCTTCCTTGCAATTCACGTCCCTGCAGACATTCCTCCTGTTGCTCTCAGGGATCCCGATCCCGACACAGACTGGGCGGGTGAGTGTAGGTCTGGAAGCAGGAGCCACAGTCCGCCGGGCGGGGTCGCAGCCCAGACCCTCGGGGGCGGGCTGGGCGGGTGGGCGATCAGGGA